CTATGGCTGAGTGTATTCTGAAAAACTCAGCAACTGGGGGTGATGGTTTCACTTTCAGGTTTGCTCATTTCCTTCTCTGGGGAGATTCTGTGTGAAGCTGTTGGAGAAAGCAGTGAACTCTCCTGCCTAATTTGGATCATTAGACCCAGCGAATTGGTCTACCAGGTAAGGGCCGAGGCAAATCTCTTTGTCAGAATGGAATTATATTGGTTTGTACAAACTTCAGAATTCTTTGTTTCATCCTTTTCTGGACTCCAGGAATGTGTCTGAACCTGTCAGCCCTGGGTCTGAGCTGGAGGGTGTGTTTAGTGTCAGACGGCTGGAAGCTTCTGGGTGTGGAAGGGCCTGGATTTCTGTGGGGAGCTGCATGATTAAAAAAAAAATCCCTTTCATTTGCTGCTATTTCTGTGTCTGCTGATCATTCTGATGCCTTTAATGGTTGCACTGAGCCAGGTTCATTAGGACTTTGTGTCCTGATTAAAGAAACGAGTCGTGTGTCTGTGTCTCCTCCTCTGCATTAAGAATATTGTTTACTTCAGCCCGTTGGCTTTGAGATGTCTTCAGATAAATGTTTGTTCACTTTTTCTCCTAGCTGGTTTCTTTTTATGAATGAGGATTGCTCCATTTTTGCTGAATTTTAGCTCAGAGATTCTTTCTTTGTACAAAGTTCTCTGATTTATTCGGACTTTTATGTACCAGAGCTATTAAAATAAGCTGCCCTCTAGCTGCAGCCATAACTCTGTTCCACCTGACCAGGACTCGCTCTTCCCCTGTTAGTCTGGAATCAACTTCCATCCCCAGGCTGGAACCCCAGCCCGCTGCCCCAGTCTCCATTAGACTGGAAATGCCCCATCCCCAGCTAGAAAGAATCCTCACAACCTGCACCCACTGGATTAACCCCAAACACCGTTCCTGCTGGGCAAGAACTTGCCTCCCATTCACAACAGACCAGAAACTCCTGATCCCCCACAGGCCTAGAGTCCCACTGTCCTCCCGCGCCAGACTGGAGCCTCTTCTCCCCTGAACAGGAAACCTCACTGCCCCACTGGTACCTTCAGACCATGTCTACATTGGCAAATTAAAGTGCTCTAACTTACTGGCTCAGGGGTGTGAAAAAACGCCTGTGTGGACAGGCTCCAAGTGCCGGGAGCCATTCCCCTCGTGGAGGTGGATTACCAGGAGCGCTGGGAGACCTCTCTCCCAGCTCTCGCCTGCGACCACACTCGCACATCAAAGCGCTGCTGCGGGACCGCTCCTGCGGCAGCGCTTTGAACTTTCTAGTGTAGACTTAGTCTTAGACTGTTGTAACTGTTCAGGCCATCTTCTGATTGGCTAATTACTATTTGAATTCCCCTCCTGTGACCCTCCCACATAGAGTCCAGTGTCTTTAGCATCTCCGGCTCTTGTAACAGAGGGAAGTTATGCTTTTCTAGATTTTGTTCAGTACATTTGTTCTGTGACACATTATAAACACAAAAATTAAGAAATAAAGAAATCATCTACGAGAGGGATATTGTGCAGCTGCCTCTCAGTAGCAGTACAATTATTTGCTGAACAGGGAATAAACCTTCTGTTTCCCAGCCGGGATGCTATTGTTACACCTTTTGACCTGAGTGATTAGTCAAATTTGGGTTCTTGAAGATTATTCCAATTAGGAGAAGAAATGGATGATAGAGCCACATATTTTCTTTGATCTTACTTATTTACAAAGAAAGTTGTGTTTCCCAGAACACAGTAGGAATCAAACACCAGGAGACAGTTTCTTGCTGTTCCAGTCCCCTTTCCAGCCAGCACTCTGTGCCCCAAAATCTCTCTCTCTTCGCTTTCTCTCAGGGCCACATTACCAGCACTTCTGTTCCTGGCTGCTTGGCTTTGGGCTGCTTCTGTCTGTCTGTGTTTCAGCTTGGGCCACGTGGCTCAACTTCTGCTCAAGCTTTTCCATGTGCCTGTGTTTTGGGTGCTACTGCTGTTGTTTCAGCCACCGATTACGTGGCTTTTTTACATTTACCCCGAATACAAAGTGGTGGTTACACCTGACCCATAACAACAAGGTAGAACCCAACACGTAATAGTATCAAGCAGAAACTCATAGGGGACAAAAGTCAAATAGGGGGATCACGAATAGGAGGAAACCACTTTGTCTGTGTAACTGTGTGGCTGGTGTGTTTTAGGGCTGGCCTGGCCTGTCAGCTACCACCATGGCTTACTCTGGAGCTCCAACAATTGAGATGCCGGCCCTGGGCCGCCCTCTGCGGCTGGGGATGCTGTACGACTGCCGCAGCGACACGCTCATACCAGGTACGGTTAGAGTTACACCCAACACCGCTTGTGTTGGTTCATTGTAGTTTACGGACCTCTTGCCAACTAACTCATCTGGTGGGAGGGACTCTTTCAACAGAACACTTGGTTCACCCTCTGCCCCTTTAGGATGTGGTCAGCTATGAGAGCAGACAGCGACTGGTTAGATCTAAAACTGACACATTTAGTGAAACATGAATGAAATGTTTAACAAGAAAAGCATTTTCCAGAGATTTATTGGGCAATAACTTCAATTGCTTAGACAAAACTTACATGTTCATTTGTAGCAGGGAAGGAGAGCTAATAACTGATAACATCAAAAAGATTGAGGTATTTAATGCCTATTTTGCTTCAGTCTTCACTGAGCAAGTTAATGGTGACCAGATACTTACTACAGTTAATGTTAACAACCAGAGGGAAGGAATGCAAAACAAAACAGGGAAAGAACAGGTTGTGACGGGTTGGATCACAGAAAGCCCCTGGGGTTGCCAACTGATGTGCCAAGACTACTTCTGCCCCTGCTTTCCCTGCCAGCTTGGGACTCCAGCACCCTGTCTTGTTGAGCCAGACACAACCGTCTGCTCCTACACAGACCCAGGATCTGAACCACTTGCCCCAAAGCCGCAGACTTAACTGAAAGCAACTTAGGAAGTGTTCCTGTCTTTAACACTCAGATGCCCAACTCCTAATGGGGTTCAAACCCCACATAAATCCGTTTTACCCTGCATAAAGCTTATACAGGGTAAACTCATACATTGTTTGCCTTCTATAACACTGATAGAGAGATATGCACAGCTGTTTGCTCCCCCAGGTATTAATACATACTCTGGGTTAATTAATAAGTAAAAAGTGATTTGATTAAATATAGAAAGTAGGATTTAAGTGGTTCCAAGTAGTAACAGACAGAACAAAGTGAATTACCAAGCAAAATAAAATAGAACACACAAGTCTATGTCTAAGAAAACTGAATACAGATAAAAACCTCACTCTTAGAGGAATTCCAGTAAGCTTCCTTGTACAGACTAGTCTCCTTCTAGTCTGGATCCAGCAATCACTCACACCCCCGTGGTTACTGTCCTTTGTTCCAGTTTCTTTCAGGTATCCTTGGGGTGGAGAGGCTATCTCCTTAGCCTGCTGAAGACCAAATGGAGGGGTCTCCCAGGGGTTTAAATAGATTTTCTCTTGTGGGTGGAGACCCCCTCCTTCCCCCTCTGTAGAATCCCAGCTACAAGATGGAATTTTGGAGTCACATGGGCAAGTCACATGTCCATGCAGGACTCAGAATTTTACAGGTGGAAGCCATGGTTCACATGCTACCTTGAACGTCCTCAAGTAGACTTCTTATGTGGATTGCAGCCTTACAAGATTCATTGTCCATTAAGTGTTTCTTAATTTGGCACTTAATTTGCACATTCCTTTCTCAAGAAGCTGCCCAAATGCTCTACTAAGGCTACTTAGAAATCAAGCAGGTACACAGCCAATATTCATAACTTTGAATACAAAAATGGTACATGCATACAAATAGGATTAGTAGATTCAGTAGATCATAACCTTCACAGAGATATGTTACATGGCATATGTAGCATAAAACATATTCCAGTTATGGCACATATACATTCATAAGCATATTTCCATAAAGCCTTCTGGGGGGCACCGTCACACAGGTTATAGACTATTTAGAGAAGGTAGATGTATTCAAGTCAGCAGGGCCTGGTGACATTCATCTTAGGGTACTTAAGGAACTCGCTGAAGCAGGGCTGCCCAGAGGATTCAGGGGGCCTGGGATCTTTGGCGGCGGGGGTCCTTTTGCTCCGGGGGTTTGGGGCACTTGGGCAGCGGGTCCCGGAGTGGAAGAACCCCCCCACCGCCGAATTGCCGCCGAAGACCCGGAGCAGAAGGACCCCCTGCCACCGAATTGCCGCCAAAGACCCGGAGCGAAAGAAGCTCCGGGTCTTCGGCAGCGGGTCCTTCACTCGCGCCGGGGGCCCTGGAAAACTCTCATGGGGGCCCCTGCGGGGCCTGGGGGAAATTGCCCCACTTGCCTCCCCCCTCTCTGGGCAGCCCTGAGCTGAAGCAATCTTGGAACTGTTAGCAATTATCTTTGAGAAGTCATGGAGGCTGAGTGAGGTCCCAGAGAGATGGAGAAGGGCAATCATAGTATTATTTTTAAAAGGGGGAACAAAGAGGACCTGGGGAATTATAGACTAACTTTTATCATAGGCATGGGAAGTAAGGGTGTGGGGGGTGCTGCTGCAGCACCCCCATGTTTTGCACCTGGCCCTAGAGTCCGACCCTAGGTCCCTGCCGCTGGCTCCACCAGCCCCCAGAGCCCTGACGCCTGCTGACCCAGCAGGCTACACCCGCCCCCAGGGTCCCACCGCCTGCTGACCCCACGGTCTCCGTTGGCCCCCAGATCCCCGCTGCCCCCGTGGGCTCCACTGGCCCCCAGAGTCCAGAGCCCGCCGACCCCGTGGGCTCTACCGGCCCTGGGGTCCTGCCGCCCGCCAACCCTGTAGGCTCTGCCGCCCGGAGTTCCGCCGCGGGCTTGGGGTTCTGCAGCCACCCCCAGTTGTGTCTCCAGCCTGGGACGATGAGGGGCACCGCGTTGACAAGGCTAAGGGGGGAGGCGCAGCTCAGCACCCCCACCCTAAAAATCGTTCAAGCGCCACTGACTTTGATTTTCAAAAAATGCTGGGTAGCCATCTGACACAACAAATCCTGTATTTTGGCAGGGAGTTAGACTAGATGATCCTTGCAGTCCCTTCTCACCCTATGGTTCTATGAGTCTATAATACCTGGAAAGATACTGGAACATATTATTAAACAATCAGTTTGTAAGTACCTAGAAAATAATAGGCTTATAAGAAATAGCCAGCATGATTTTGTCAAGAACAAATAATGCCAGACCAACCTAATTTCCTTCTTTAACAGGATTACTGGCTTAGTGAATAGGAGGAAAGCTGTAGATGTGATATATCTTGATGTTAGTAAGGCTTTTCACACAGTCCCATATGGCATTCTCATAAACAAGAGAAAAGTGATCTAGATGAAATGACTATAAGGTGGGAGCACAATTGGTTGAAAGACTGTGCTCAAAGGAATGGCAATACACAAAAACCTGTAGGCGAACACTTCACCCTCCCTGGCCACACAATAGCAGATGTAAAGGTAGCCATCTTAC